TGTCTATTCAATTTGTATACTCTTCCTTTATTACGTCAATTGTTACTATTACTATTCTCACTTTGAACTGTCCCCGGTATTATTTCACTTGTCATTCTAAATCAATTCTTTTTTACTTTAAATTCCATGCTATCAAATTTCACACAATATTGCGTAACTTTTTTTATTTTATTCGATCTGTCTACTAATCCTATAATTGCACACCCTTTTTCAAGTTCTATCCATCCTATGAATTATTCTATATATGACATTAATTGTTTTGCCAGTTGACATTTAACTATGATTATAATCACAAACATTTTAGTTTTAATTGCATTTCATACTACTATTATTATTTTATGCATTCACACCTATGATTCAATTTCTTCACCGGATATAACTTCTTAAGAACCATATATGTATACGAATGTGCAGCTTGATGATAAATTCGTTGAAAAGAGTCTCTTCGCTGAATCACTTGTTTTGATTTTCTATATGTTACAATGGTGGGAATTTTCCATGAGTTGAATAATAGTTCATCAGTATCTAATCAATAACTTCAAGATAAATAATCTCATACTCTTATTAGAAAAAGTAATGAGCCAGTTTAGACAGTAGTGACTAAGCTATATAGTGAATTAATACAAACAGAAGTAAAATAACTCGACTATCACCATCAAGCATTTTCATTCGCAAGCAAGTGTCAATAAGCTGCACATATTATCTAAGGTCTTACAGGCTAGAATACAGTATAACTCCATTATGGATAAGATTTTATTTTGATAAATCACACAGTGATGTTATACAGTAATATTAACTGATGAACACGTTTCGAGCACAAACTATTGCCACTCATAATCATATCAAGTTACTCACACAACTGTTTCCCTTCATTTATATACATGTGTGGAATTGACTAGATATTTGAATAAAAATCAATATGAGATAATGTACATTCAGAAATAATAATACGAGTGTTATTGATCAATTACAATCAGATGGGAAATAAGACGAGTGTTTTTATAGTCATAATAAGTTACTTGTTAGAATGTTGTGATGTACGTGAATTGAAATAGAATTTTAAGATTATTTATTATCCTCTTCTGATTTGACTGACTGGCGGTAATAATATCTTCCATATTTCTGGTATTTGCATTGAGTCATTTCTGTTACATGTGGTGTGTTGGGTGTAGACTCGATGAACAAGGATTCAGTAATCAACCTCTCTCTCCACCTACATAGATTACTTCTTAGAATCTTAACCCTCTCCCACCATGCTATTGTGTGGTTGTGTGTTAATGCATGCAGTGCAATTGCTGAGCTTTTTTCTAAATTACTCATCTTCGCGGGTGGGGTCAACCATTCTTACCTTAGCCACTAAATTCTTATGTTCCGACAATCTGATTATCCCCGATCTACTAGTTTGATCTATATAGTTGACCTCACTCACAGTCATTGCAGGGTATTTTGTAAATTATATTATTTTGTTTAATTGGGTCAACAGGGTCCTTTAACCTACAGAGCTTGTCCTATCTGAGTGAGTTTGTAGGTTTGAATGCCACCCTAATTCCTGCTTTATTAAGAATCCTACGTGGGGAGGGTTTCAGATGTCCCCTCCTTATATGGTATAACAGTGGATGACTTATATTCTCTCTTATTTATGTTATCATTACTAGTTTCACAATTATTTCTATTTTGCTTTTAGCCTTTCTCGAATACAGTTGGGCGAAAATCAAAACATGCAATTCATTGAAGAGACTATTTTCATCATATATATCATATATATATATATATATATATATCTTATTAATCATGTGAACCGCGACAGAATGATAGGTTATGTACCTGATGGTTAAGCAGAGGCAGAAGTGAGGCTAAAAGAAGCGCAACAACTGAACATCTGGTAGTCACTGGCCTCCCTATTTCTACAACTCCTTCCTTTAAAGTTGTCTATAAGGCGAAAAATAACTTGCCCGAATCATTACGTATCCGACTAATCAGTATCGCTGAAGCTTTGGTCATCGAAATAGAAATGCGAGACCTTCGTATACAGAAAAATGGTCGACCACTCCTTATTTCGTGGTCTTAATCCATCCATATGTGCTAAATTATTATAATTCCCAATTCATATTTTGTTCCTACTTATTTTTTGCTTTGTTGTTTCAATTTTTATATTCTTCCCTTATTATTCTGATCGTTATTAGTAATTTCACTTTCACCAATTCCCAGTATTATCTAATTTTCAAGCATTGATTTGAAGGGATTTGGTTGATTCGTTATAGGATTTCATCATGAGTTGACATTGGTTAAAGAACCATTGGAAAACCTGCAGGGAGTACTGGACAGCTGTTTCGTCCTAGTTTGGGACTCTTCATCAGCACGCACCCACCGGGGCTCGAACCCAGGACATTCTGGTTACAAGGCGAGCTCGTAGACCATTGAGCCACTGGGACCCAATCCAATGGCCAGCCCATGAATTCTAACTTCTGCCGATTCACGATATAGCGCAACCGCTAGCCAAGGTTGCTGCTGAAGAGTCCCAAACTAGGACGAAACAGCTATCCAGTACTCCCAGGTTTTCCAAAGGTCCTCTAAACAATGTCAGCTCATGATGAAACCCTGTAAACAATATTATCTAACTTGTCACTTTTATTTAGTCGATTCAATATAATTGTTTTTGCGATGTCTTTTCATAATTATCATCTTGTTGCGTAAAGTTCTAATTGTTTACTAATCTTGTTATTTGAACACGCCGCCTTTGAGATTTACATATTTCATTAAGTACGTGACCAATTATTTTTGTCGCAATTCATATAATTATTAGTAGTAAAAAATTATACATACACGATTGTAGAGCTTGAGAATAAACTGGTTGAAAAGAGTCTTTTCACTGAACCATCTGTTTTGATTTTCTATATATATCCCCTAATGGGAATTTTTCATTAAGCATAACGACCTAAGAAAACGACCAACCAAAATCAGTTTAATCAGCCGAAGGTGTTATTTAAATAGAAAAAACTCTATAGAAAATAAATTAAGTAGTGTCAAATAAATTATAAACGATGGTAATTACCTGTGTGTTCTAGAAAGTTACTAGGGGAAGGGGGGAAATCGTTTTTAAAAAGTTAATACATATCATGTAGTTGGTCATGACAAAAAAGGAGCTGAACAAAATTTCTTTAGAACACGCAGATTTGGCTTGTTCTGCTGAATGTAAAAGTTGTTCCCACCTAACCTCTCGCATGTTCTAACAATACGACTTTTACAATCAGCAGAGGTAATCGGAATTCATCCGAACAAGCCAAATCTGTGCGTTCTAAAGGAATTTTGTTCAGCCCCTGTTTTTGCCATGACCAACCACATATGTATTAAGCTTTTTAAAAACGATTTTCCCCTCCTCCTCTTGTAACTATCTTTTGACTTTGTTAATTTTTACAATTCTAGTTAATTCTATTAACTTGCTTGTATTTTACGTAATTCTTCTGAGTCATCCTATTCTTCTTAGTCGTCATTGCTATCTTACAAATTTCTTGGTTATGTAATAAGTTGTTGCCAACACCCAAGAATCATCTTATCTTTTGCAGTTAATTAAGTTTCACCCCTCCTTCAAAACTCAGATATTTTGTCGCTAACATCTATTAGTTAATCGTTCTGATGACTTTTAACCTCTTAATTTCACCCCCTATAACTAAAACTGATTAATAACTAAAATAACCACTTGATTGGCAAATTTTTGATTTTAAAAACTACATATCACTATTGAGCGGATGATGAGGAACTAATTGAAAAGGAATATATTTCTTCACTGAGTCTGTTGTATTTTCTAAAAATAAACATTCCTTAATTTTTTTTCTGATGAATACTCTTGAGTTATTCAACAATATTTCTTTGATGAAAGACTACATACGAATTATTACCAAGTACTAGATGGTTGGAGGCAATCGGCCACAGGAAGCCTTGGACCTAGGTTTCGTGCTAGTTGGCACTCATCAGCAAGGCGTATCTGCAACCTTGAAGGAACTGATGTCCCTTCTGAGATTCAAACCCGCGTCACCCAGTGCTGCAATCAGAGACGTTACCACTGAGCTATTCAGGCTCGCGATTGACCTCCTGTAGGACTGTATTGGATATTTTTGATTGCACACCAGTCAGTAACTAGTGTAATGTGTTTAGTCCTATCTCCGCTGCAGACTGAATTCTATCAGTCAAGCTTGCAACGTGGCCACCATGCTAGGTGGCTCGACATTACGGTGCACTGTGAATTGTTGGTATCAGATGGTTGGAGGCAATCGGCCATCTAATACCAACAATTCACATTGCACCTTAATGGCGAGCCACCTAGCATGGTGGCCACATTGCAAGCTTGACTGATAGAATCCAGTCTGCAGCGAAGATAGGACTTATTACCAAGTACTTAGTGTGTCGGTAGTTCAGTGGTATACTGCTCGCCAACCACGTCCGTCAAGTGGTCCAGTTTCGATCGCTGGTCAACGTACTCATAAACCTCGCTTATTCGGCAGTAAACCCGCCACACAGGTAAGAATGGGCATGAGGCTAGCAACCCTACCCATTAAAAATTAAACACCATCGCTACTAAGACTTTAAAACTGAAGGTTGATGTCCTAAACTTCAACCAGAACGCAAAGGAATGCAGAAAAGAGGAATTCCTTAATCATTATTACGAAATCTACAAAAATCTGAAGTAGGGTAGAATAATACGATTCGCATTACGAAACCATTTAAGCGATCTTCTGGTAAAAAACCAAAAAAAAACTGATTTCATAATGAATTCCACGGTGCGGTGAATTCATGAAGACGTACAACACAAAATTAAAACTATTTCTTTATTAGAGATTATTTACAACTCAAAGTAACAGTGAAACTACAATGCAGTATGAAAGTCTTGAAGCAATATAGTTACTTATCCTAAATAATGGAACTTTCAAAATATATTATTCATCAATGAGAGAGATAAAACTCAAAAAGATGGTTAAATGCTCCAATTTAAATTAACTATAACCTATATAAATGTATATATATATATCTTCTTATTGTTCGCAGACTGGTTTCTTAGGTAAGGCTAATCCAACCAAGTTGGCGGCTTCTTCTGTTGTCTTTTCTTTCGTTTTATATAATTCTACAAGTTCCTGAAAAATAGTAAAACACAAGACATGAGAAATATATTAACGTAAATGTTATAAACAAACTGTAGTGCAGCAAGAAGGCCAAAATGTATTGTCACTTATAAGGACATCTGTTGTCTTGCTTTAGCCATAAGTGATGCAGCTTGGCAAAAACTAAACTACTTTTCCTGTAGACGTATAGAAAACCGAAATGAATGGAATAGCCGATAGGTTCAATCCCTTCACTCCCTAGCTTTGGCTAGACCTTCCCCCAGGCGTGCATGCAATAAACAAGGGTAATTTGTTCAGGAAATGGGGGCTTTTGTGTTTTATTTAGGCAGGGTCTTTGAATAACTAATACAGATGAAGGATGTTTATTATTTCAAACTGATACTGAAATGCGGGTTGTTCCAGGAAACTTGTGAGAACTTTTAACACGGTTGGACACTGCAAGTTTAAATCAGGTCACTGATTTCATTCCATATATATATATATATATATATATATACTCATGTTTACGCGAACACTTCATACAACTATCGATTTTCTTTTTCAATAGTTCACATTTGGCAAACATGAAAACTAAAGGAAAAACGTGCAATCCAGATCCAGAACGTAAGTCAGTTCATAATAGCTTTCAGAGAAACACTAGAGAATGGTCAGAAATGTTGAGAGGTATACGAGAGTATAAAAGTAAATATGAGAGAAAAAAAGATAATTTCTGCCTTTCCAAGTTCTCACATAAACAAATCTTACGAAATGATTTAGTTGATAAATGTATAAAAGAAACTACGAGCATTGACTAAGTTAAAGCAAACATCTGTAGACTGAACGGAAGGAATGTAGATCTTATATCACTGTGGGCCACAGATAGTAATCCCTTCCTCATATGATTTATAATGCAATTTCCTTGCACATATGAAATTTTCAAAAGACAACAATATAATATGTATGATAATATCTGTTAGCAGACTTCAAACTTTTCTCTTACATACCACCCACTTATCATCTATCTGGATATACTTCTATCACAACAAATGCATTAGACATTTGACTGAGTGTTCGACGCAAAATTTTGTACAAAAGAATAATTATGTGCAGAGTGATAACGAGTTAATGGATCAGAGAAATTACAAAGAGTGAATTGATTCCTGCATTTGAAAATAATTTTGAACCACACCACCAATAGTCTCCTCCAGTCATTGGTTCTTAGAATATCAAGGATTCCAGTAAGGCAGTCTACACTTTATGCCGCTCATACCAACAGTCAAAGAACTCATGGACTGATATCATGCCTTGATTCATTTACAGCTAACACTTCTCTTACTTGATCCTATCAGCTAACATAGCTCAACGAGAGGGGCGATGACAAATACAACATGTGTTGTAGCCATCACAATCTATGCAACTTCGCAAACTCACCGATTAAACGCGATTTACTTAATAACTTAGCACGGTCAACATGTGAACAGATAACCTTCACAAACTCACAGTACAAGTTTTAATTAGTGAGAAGTATTAAGATAACTTCTCTCTCTAAAAAATACAGTAAACGTAAAGTCTCATCGCAAAATCGTGCCTTTTTAAAGTGTGGCAAATTCTGTATAAAGTTTGACTGACGTTTGTCTGTTTCTATCAACCTTAAACGTGACACGATGATTAACTGGATCAGGCAGTCAATTTTAAACCAGTAAGTCACAGGTTTGAACTCCTTTTCGCAATGTAACATTATCATCATTCAATAAATATGACTCGTACCTAAGTGGTATCACAACATGTATTTAACTGTACAGTAAAATTACACGATTTCATATCAGGCCTAAACACATCATACGAATGTTGCTGAAGTACAAAATGAAATATTGGCATCGTAACCAGATGGAATAATATTACAGCTAAAGGGTATTTTATTGTTTGTCAAATTTTATCTGTCAACAGGCCAGTTCTACGATATTGTAAAACTACGATTCAGTACACTTTTCTAGCCTGAACGTAATTTCACTAATGTATACCTCAATACTCTTTACCTCGAACATGTAAGTGATATATATATTCCCTGAGGAGGAAAGAACGTACTTTTAGAATGAAACTACCAATAATAATAATAATAATCTTCGAAATAAAAACGTATTTACCGAGTGTTTTCGTCTATTCTCCAAATAATTCAAGTATGTTTCAGCTAAATGAACAGCTTCATTTTCCCTAGCACATTTTTGAGCATCTGTTAACTGGTTATTTCTGAATTCCGAAATAATGAATTGCATCACTGGTGTATATGAAAAAGGCTAAAGAATCATTAGGCAACCAGAAGACAACAGTAACTTACTGCATTTCTTTCCTTAACAGATCGACGAAGTTCACGGAGTAAATTGCGAAATAACTGGACTCTAGACATTGTATCATCAATTATTCCGGGAGTAAATTTATCTGTAGTAAAAGCACAGATCACTATTAGCAAGTAGAAACAACACATTCGTGAAACACTAATAGGAATATGAAATCCAAGTTTTAAGTTCCACAAACTTCATCATTTTGTTTAAAAAATAAGACAATTAATGAAAATTTTCATCCATTTAGAACACTAAAGAAGTCAACTTGAAAAAAATTTTAGGGAGAAAATTTCCCACTGTAATAAGACTGTCTGAAACACTGATGAAATACAGATATCGAAATTCTCTTATTATACATCATTAATTCTGTAATTCAACCAGTATATGTTAGTATACGTTCCAATAGAATAGACTGGAAAAGAGAAAGGGTGGACAAAACAAATTATTATTTCTTTGAGTTCCGGGTGAAACACATGGATTCAACAACACATTGACTGATTGAATGACTGGTTTCAACGTAGATTTTCGCACAGATGTGCACCAGTTCGAGTTGCCTGACTCCTTCCGTGTATCACACAAAGCAAGAGAAGGAAGTAAAAAGTAATGCAAAATAGACACAGTAAACAGAGATATGAGGCGAAAAGAATAGTAATATCGAAGAACCATGTGGTTTTATTGGGTATTATAAGTCACAAGGAGTGGATGCATCTGCGCCACTTAGAATGATTTTGAGCCATATTACCATTTGTCTCCAGTCATTGGTGGTTACTATCCCGAGGACTCCAACCAGGAAGTCTACACCTCCCTACATGGTTTAAACCAACTGTTGTGGATTTATTTCATTGACTGATGTCATGTTTTGGTTTGACCGCCACTAACTCTTTCGCAGACTGACCCTATGTCAGCTAATATTGCCAGTCGAGGGAGGCAATGACTAGGCATACGTAACACATGTCCTAACTATCTCGGTTGATGTAACTTCACAGCCTCATTTATTGATTTAATTTCCGACTCATGTGCTCTACCGCAAGTACAAAATTTTTGAATGAAGCGAGTTGAACCAAATAATAAGTTTATTGGTGGTTAAATGATAATGGGTTACAAAGTGCGAAAGTAGACTGTTAATCATTATCAAATATGTAAGACATAATAAGCGCGACGTCAGTTTCTAGAGTGAAAGTCTACAAAAAACTTATTACTTCTGAGTTTTAAACTAATTTACCTAAATGCAAGGATTATGGTTGCAAAGATGTTTTAAATGAGCGTCCTTAGGGAACTACAATGGGAACCATTTTGTTTTTAAGTTACTACAGTAGGTCAGCCAGATTGCTTAGGTTATTATCCTTGCTATTCGTGGATAATACTAAAGTTTTGCGGCTTAGTAATGACAATGGAAATAAGTCTATGAGTTTGGCTTGACATCAAAACCTGGAAATGAATTTCATTAGATGAACAGTAATGATCCCTATTAGACACCTTGCTGTCCTGATTGCATTAGCGGATAAATATTGCCTTGCATCATACAACAAAATTATCCAACAAAGTACTCTGGTGCGACCTAAAAGCAAAAGACAATGAAGCTAAGATCCGCATACCCTGAATACCGTTATCATACGTTACCATGATTAACAAATTCTGCATAATTAACGATTCAAATTCAGTGGTAAAAGACAGCAAGCTATTGAAGCTTGTCAGTCCTTTGAGAATCTCTCTGTCAAAGCGTTTTATTCCTTCCCACTTTCGGGGACTGTTCTCAAAGCTTGGTGTTTTTCAACATCAACTTACATGTAACACCGTAGAGACCCAGTTTTTTCTCTGAAAGCGTTACACATGAAACCGACACTACTTGAAAAGGATGATCCTGAAGGCCATCAAATGTCCTTCTGACTCAAAATAAAAATTATTTTAAGGAACACCACCAAAATGTCAGCATTTCCTTCAGATAACCCAAATCATACCCAAAACACCCCTCCCTACGAAGGACCCGAAAATGTTCAACAGGGATAGTTTAAGCTTGGAGTAAATATATCTTTCGAACCATTTTTCCGGCCCACGGGCTTTAGTGTATATATCTATAGGTTTACCTGTTTAGATAACTTTAAACTATCGGGACTCAAAACTAACAAATAAACAAATAATGATATTGGTCAACCAACCGGATGAGCCCGTAGTAGGTAGGCGGAAATATAGATGCAATACACGAAGTACGTTGCAATCTCCGTCAACAGGTAGTATTTATAAGTACCGTGGGGATAACAGGCCGTTTGTTTTTCATTTCTTATTAGGAAAAATTTAAAAAAGCAATACGGCTAAAATATAAAGGCCAAGTTTTGTGTATTTTCACTCTTCTCCACAGAAAATAGATACTTAGAAAGATGGACAACCACCACACTTAAGTAGCTAACTTACGTAGCGCAGTTGTTTAAAACCCGCTCATTCGTGTTAGAAAGCTGGACTGAGTTTATTCCTTCTCCAGCTACCATCATTAAAATTCCATCCTACACACGTGACTTTTGCGCGTATTCAGCTGAGAAGGGCGAAGTTAAACTTTAAGCATCACTAACTACTAACGGAGTGCGACCGCAGCAATGACCTTGAAAAGTTCACTGAGCAAGTTAGTGGAATACGGCAAATAATAATGTTATCATCGATCAGATATGCTCAAGGTCACTTGTTTGTTTGCATCCCTTGGGACTCTATTGTAGAACTTTGCCAGTATTATTTTATTAAATAGGATATCTGGCAAGTTTCAGCTTAGTTTTGATAAAGATTAAGTTACGCTTTAAGCCAAGGACAAGTTAGGGTTAGGTTAATCTAACAAAGGCGACAGTAGGGTTGATCCAAGTTGGATTACAGTTGGTTTAGGGATATTATCACGTTGGGATTAGGTTCAGGAAAGACAAGGGTTGTTGTTAGGGTTAGAAGACCTAAATAATTACATGCATAGAATGCGGTTAAATTTCTCTGTTGACATAAGAATACATGTTGTGCACTCTGGTGTAGTTTAATTTCGTTGTGGGTAAAATTTATTCTGATTAAGTCTCACAGTGTTATACAGTAGTAAAATTTACTGGTGACCATGTTTCGAGCACAATCTACTGCTCAGTAAATGTTGAAACTTAACAAAAAATATTTTATCCACAATGAAATTATACTCTGTTGACACACCAACCTAAAACTGAGAACTATTTTTATCCCATGTGAGAGGAAGGTAGCTTCAGTAACACTTCTATACAGTTTTTATGTAGTTTTCATCAATATATGTATTCCGTATACAAAAATGCCTCCTTCACGTGATTGGGGAAAACTGCGCTACATTTGCTTAGTTACATAAAACTCTGATTTTTGTGGAATATCTTATCAAAAAGTTGCGAAAAACTTTTACAGTTATTTGAATTTGAAACACTAAATCCTTGGATATAATATTGTATATCAATAACACCTATAACTCTCTATTGCCACTCTGTGCTTGATTAACACTAACTAATACCTCTAATTGTATATATATTGATGGATTTACATGTTCAAGTTGGCTCAAGTCAGTGAATCTATGATTTTGGTATCATTTCGGTTAACTGCAATTGACTGTGATATTATTATTGTTGTTGTCGCTTGTTACCCTTCTTGTTGTGAATTATTTTCCCGTGCTGGTGTTTTTCTGCTTGTTTATTCCCTGTTTTCCTGGTTTTTAAGGGGAGCAACCCACAAGGTCGCTTCTCTCTAAATTATAAATTGATGTAACAGTCCCCCTTCTCAGGAGTGAGACTAGCAACCCCACTCTGTAAACAAACCTGCTACAGAAACTTCAGCACGATGTATCTCCTTGAGACAAAAGAAAAGTCTTTGTGGGGACATGGAATGTCCGTACTATGTACGAGATTGGCAAAGCTGCCCAGATCGCAAGCGAAATGAGGAGATACGGGCTACAAGTATTGGGGATCTACGAAAGCAGATGGAACGGAAACGGACTCACCAAATTGTCAACAGGTGAGTCAGTGATTTACTCCGGTCACCCAGAAGACAACCACACACACACCGAGGGCGTGGCTATAATGATGTCACCAACGGCAACGAAGGCCCTGATGCAATGGGAGGCGATCTCGCCCAGGATAATAACCGCCAGATTTAACTCCAAAGGGAGGAGAGTGTCAATTATACAATGCTATGCACCCACAAACAACGCAGACCTCGAAACGAAAGAAGAATTCTACAGACAACTGCAGACAACAATGGACAATACTCCAGCTGGTGACATCAAAATACTAATGGGAGACATGAACGCCAAACTGGGATCAGACAACACAGGAAGGGAACTCATCATGGGTAGAGAAGCTCTCGGAGAAATGAATGAAAATGGAGAACTCTTCGCCGACTTCTGCGCCTTCAATGAACTAGTGATTGGTGGCAGCGTATACAAACACAAGGATATCCACAAGGCTACATGGGTGTCACCAGGCTGGACAAACCAAATACCAAATTGACTTCATCTCAATCTCAAGGAAGTGGAGGCGCAGCCTGCTGGACACAAAAGTAAGAAGAGGAGCGGACATTGGCTCAGACCACTATCTCGTACAAGGGACAATCCAAATCAAATTAGAAGCTTTCAGAGAATCAGGAGCTGCAGATAGGCCACAAGCCAAGTTCAATACTCAAAAACTGAAGGACCAGGACACAAAGGACATCTTCACTGCAAGTATAAAAGACAGAGGCGAGACACAAATCAACACTGGTGAAGAGGTCAGCGTCGAAAAGCACTGGAACAACTTGAAGACAGTATGGAGTCAAACATGCATGGAAGTTCTAGGCAGGAAGAAGAGACAGGACAAACAATGGCTCACTACGGACACTTGGAAACTAATAGAAGAGAGAGGGATGGTGAAACAAAAGATTCTCCAGTGCACCGATGAGCAACAAAAACAGGATTTGAATGCAAGTTACAAGACACTGAACAAAAGAGTAAAGAAGAGTGCCAGAGAAGACAAAAGAAAGTACTATGAAACCATGGCAAGTGAAGCAGAACAAGCTGCAGGCAAAGGAGACCTCGCAACACTCTACCAAACTACTAGGTACCTATCGGGCAAACGTTTGACACAAATCAAGCCGGTGAAGGATGACAATGGAAAGTCACTCACCAAAGAATTGGAACAAAGGAAACACTGGGCTGAACACTTCGAAAGACTCCTAAATCGACCACCACCTACAACGCGCCCAGCAATACCAACAACGGAGACAGAGATACCAGTGAACACCAACCCCCCGACGAAATCAGAAGTCCTGAAGGCAATCAAGATGCTAAAAGCTGGAAAAGCAGCAGGAACAGATGGAATCCCAGCAGAAACATTGAAAACGGACCCAGAGACAACAGCGGACTTGATGACGCCACTACTGGAGAAGGTGTGGAAAGAAGGCAAAGTACCCGAGGATTGGAAGAAAGGATGCTTATTCAAACTACCAAAGAAAGGAGACTTAAGTCAATGCAAGAAGTGGCGCGGAATTATGCTCCCGTCCATCCCAAGCAAAATACTAAGCCGCATCATCCTGGAGAGAATCAAA